GGGTAATCTTGAACAAGCTGTTCTTAGCTTGGACAATCTCACTAAGACTCAATTTCCTCACGTGTGAAACTAGAGTAATGAAAGTTTGTACAGCACACCCTTTTTTTGCAGGTCCCTCATACATAGATATTTTGAGGTTTGGGGTTTTGTTTTGTTTTGTTTTGTTTTAACATTTTATTAGGGGCTCATACAACAACTGTTATCCCAATCCATACACACATCAATTGTGTAAAGCGCATTTGTACATCGTTTCTCAAAACATTTTCTCTCCACTTAAACCCCCGACAGTAGGTCCTCACAGTTGGCATAATTTCTAATGTGGTTTAAGTTTGGTCTGTCCACAAATTCTTTGATTCCCTTGTCAAGAACTGGAGCCAATCTCCCCTCTCCTTGGATTTGGAAGCTCCTAACCAATAGGAAAAAATGGAGTCTCATGCAATTTTGTAGACGAGGCAATAAGAGAGTGTAGTTTCCTACTTGCTTGCTCTCTTGTATTACTCATTCTGAAGAAACCAGTTGCTATGTCACGAGGACGCTCCAGCAGCCTAGAAGGAGAGGTCAGCGCGAGCCGGAAGTCCCGCCTTTGCCCGTCTCCCTCGTCGCCGCCGTATGACGTCACGCGACCCGGGGCGTGACCCGTTCGCTCAGTACCTCCGAGGACGGTGCTGGCAAGCGACGTTGGTGTGGGGCGCGCCCCAGCGGAGTCTTGCAGAGTGCGTGGGACTTTTGTTCGCGTGTGTGTACTGCCTTGAAGATCCCTTCGAAGCCTGTCTTTTTGGGCCCTGTTTAAACAGGCACAAGTGTCATTCAGCTTTAAACTCCTTGATGTTTGCTACCCTTTTTGACTAGCTTATCACCCGGGCCTAGTATTTTGCTTGGAACGTAGTAAGCAACACTTAAATATCTCACCACCTAGCTCATTTAGAAAATTTAATATGAGAATGAAGCTAACGTAGAGTTTGCTACTAATGGCATTGGACCAAAATCAAGGCTACCAGTGTTCTGTGTAGCTAACAGGATATATATATGTATATATGTGTGTATACTGTATATGTGTATATATGTATATATAATTTTTTTTCACATTAGAACTCAAATAGAATAAGCATAAGGCCTGGATGCCCTTGGCTCATCTAATTGCTTGGAAACGGGTAGGTCTAAGTCGAAGCTGCTATGTACACAAGGCACTCGCAAACTTTCCATTTCTTCACAGCTCTTCCCACCAC